GATATGGAGATTGGCCAATTAGCAGCAACGTCAATTTCCCTCACTTTCCGAACGTAGGATGTCCCCGACGAATCCGATGATCTCGTGTCCTTAGACACACCCCGTTATCTCGTGCCCTTAGACACACCCCGTCATAGTTTTCCTCTGGGGTGTCACCGGGACGGAAAGTCATTCTCTCTTGCGGTCTCATTGACAAAAAAAAAAGAGATTAACGCCAGCGACCATTAACACAGAATCCGACTTAGATCTTTGCGAGTGCGTACGGCTACCGTCCCGTTGTCCGCGGATTCGTTATTGAAACTAGGATCATTGTTATTGGTTTCTCGAGTATCTAATTACCACGGTTACTTGTCCAGTTCTATGTTAATCGTATTTGCACTAGCCAATGTCTTCTCTATTGCATAACGACGACGTGTAATCCAAACGAAGATTCGTTTCACGCCCCTAACACTAATTCTAATGTAAACCCGACACGTATTTATAAGCATTTCTACAATTTTACATTCCCATAATACATTTACATAAATGTTCAAAAGTCTGTCGTCATAACAATTAACGGTTGAAGCTACATTTATTCTATATATATTAATAACAAACAAAATCGCAGTATGATGCATCGTATAATATCAGTAATTTCTCTTTAGTTACACAGCTATCGATTTTTTTCGATCATTTCGAATAAAGAGTTAATGGACTTTTCTGTAATGATCATACTTGTCAGAATCTGATCTCGATATTTATTTTGACAGATCTGGGATGACGAACTTGCTCATATCGCGAGACGATGGGTAGTACAGTGCAACCTTCTCGAGAAAGATCAGTGCAGAGACGTTGGCAAGTAACTCCTACAGATATATTCCATTTTTCATTCCCTTTAGTCTTCCCTATCATTTTTCAATATCCACCGGTATACGTTCGAACGCGAAATTGTTCCGGCTGCAACCAGATCGATGTCAGTGCGTTTCTTCTTTTTACTTCAATTTTTCTTCTTCTTACTTACGAATCTCCCCTACCATACTGTTTTTTTTTCGTCCCGTGTAGTTTGTTTCGACTTCATTTCAATTTTCAACAGCAAGGCGCAAAAAGCGATAGTGGTTCTTATAAAAGAAAAATTCCATTTCGTTTATTGCCTGTCTTTGATGGGTGCACTTGATTGCTCGTTTGATTTTGTCGAGAAACAATCGACGAGCTGTAGATGCCTTCGAAATATTTGTCTGAGCTTTGATAATATATGTAGCGGCACATGAGTCAGAAGATAATTCAAATCATGTTGTTGTTTTGCCTCGAAGTATCAAGATCGTTAGGATACACGTAATGTAAGAATAAATAAACTCCGGGCAAAACAATGTCTTCGCTCCGTGCAACCGTCAAACAAAGACGAATTCGAATTTTCCGACTCTCCCCCGACCAGTATAAATAAACGGACGCGATCGTGAGCGAAGCAGTTATACGAGCTATACGAGTTATCGATTAATGTCTACGAGTTATCTGCGAGCGATTATACATTGTCTTTGCGAATACGTTTGTATGAGCGACTTTGGACATTGTCTATATTTATTTATAATTTATTTAATTTATTTCAAATATATTTGACGGGTTGCAACAGCAAGTTCTCGTTACCTATTTATTAATCCTCTACAATTCCTCTACATATACATCATCGATTAAAAGCTTGGAATCATTTGTTCGGTTGCTGTAACATAAATTTGCAATTTTTTTTATTCATTTCGGAAATAGTTATATAATTTAAGAAAATAATATTACATAGACTAATTTAATTCGACAAAGCATCTTATTCTCCTTTGGTATATTTTTAAGGACAAAAAATGTATTTTAAAGTGGCTTAAAATTATTAACTTTATTTAATTAATTCTTATACTTATTTCAGTATACAGAATTTTCAAGCGTTTAACTGGTAATGCATGGAAACAATTCCTTTATTTTACGTATTGTTTTATATCGTTCGGTATATAATTGAAACAGATTCTCTTATTTACGCTCACCACGGAAAATATAAAATTACCTACAAAAGAAAACCGATTGAAACATGTAAAAAACTAATTATGCGTAGATATATCCTGTTAGAAAAAGCATGAGTTTGTAGAATTCCTTTTGTCCGAAAATGTTTCTAATACGTTAATGAAATTAAAAAGAAGAAGGAGGAAACCCGCTTGAAAAGATTATTTAGTTCTGTTCCGCGTAAATATTTCAGCAGTTAAAACGATAAAAATATAGCTAATTTAAAACATCGGCTTTTCATTATCAGACCAGACTCGTTGATTCAACCAATTTAAAGCAAAGTACGCAAAACGTAAAATAAACACAATAATATCAGAGTAACATCAACTTGAAATAAAACAAAGTAAAGTGAAATATGAAAGCGAATATTGCATATATAAATAAACAATTATGGTACGAAAAGAATACTAAACGTAAGAAATTAAACGGATCGCTTTATTAAACAAAAAATAAAAAAAAAAAAAGAAAGAAAAGGAAAAGATATCAAAGGTATACAAAATAAAAGATATACAAGATATTATTAAAAGATAAATATGTATTAGAGCAATAAAATAATTAAGAAAATATTGTATTACATAATACAACAGTAAAATAATAATGCAACAAGAAAAATATACATATGAAGGGCCCAGTCAAATGGCAATGTTCCATTCTTTTTTATACTGAATATGTAGTTGTTTTGTATATTTGAGCCTTTATAAGTACAGTAGAACCTCCATTATTCGAACATCGATTATTCGAACATCGATTATTCGAACGTCCGATTATCTGAACATTGCATCGGTAAACATTGTATACATATTTTTGTCGATGAGAAACAAGCTAGTATATTGTCTGTATTGCCGATATATTGTCAGTTGATTTTTATATTGCACGCTAATATACCGTAACAAAACGTAAGCGTACCGTTTTCACTTCAGGGGAGACGTCAAATAGTGACTCGATTAGGCAGTGGTGAAACACTAAGTGAAATGGCAGTGGTTTGCGGAATTAGTAAATTAACAATTTGTGACATTAAAAGATCAAAGTGTGAAATCTTGAAGAAGACGACATTTCTACAAATGATACTCCTGTGAAACTATTAACTTTAAAAAAAGATATGAGATTTTGCAGCTCACAAGGATTGGGAAAACAATGATGAATAAAACTTACGTATATAATTCTTGTAATATGTAACAAATTATAATTTTTCACGTAGAATGTAGTTAAATACGAGTCGTTCGATTATATGAAAAATTCAATTATCCGATCATCCTGAACGAAGTTAGTTTGGATAATCGAGCTTCTACTGTATCTGTAATAACGTTTGACAATGAAAGAATAACATTCGATAGCGAAAACTTAAACATCGCACACAATCTTTCCAAATTAAAGATTTTATCAGTTTTTTCTGATTTTTTCGTATAATAGAAAAATATTCAAGTGTAACCCTCGATATATCACGGCACGTGACATTCAAACCCCCTGGTGCGTTCTGGATTGCGTAACGCGAGTTTATAATTGAGATCTTGCGAACTATCAACAGGATTCCAGCGAATAAGCCGGTAGAGTTACCTCCGGATGAAAAAATCCGAAAGATTGAAATCCGAGAAGCATATGGGTCATGCAGTTGGCTCTCTTTTATCAATTCAATGACCAGAATACCTTTTATTAAAACAGTCTCGGGTATGAGACTGAAAACCGGAGGTCAGTCATACGTGAACCAGATCTAACGAATTTTTAAAGTAAGGTAGTTTATTTGTGGCAGCGATTCTGCCCGCAAGAAATATATAACAATTATATATTCTATATTATATTTACGCCGCATATATTTTTAATCACTGTTTATAATATCGATTATTGATATTATGTTAATACTATTTATTAATAACAAAATTAATATTTATCAGCATGAATGTTATTATTAATTGATTAGTAGAGTCATAGTACCCGTAATTTAGTTCATATAATATTTAACACACTAATACATAATCCGATATTTAAGTATGTTTGTCGCATTAATTTATGAAGCTATTCATGTGGTCTCACAAATTCCCAGGATTGCAAGTCTGTTGCTAACAACAAATTTCAACACAGCTTCCTTTAACAAACGTTATTCGATTATTTTGGCATTTTAATGCATAAATCTGAAGTATTTACATTTGCTGGTAACAAATGAATTCTTTTAGCGCAACAATATTTCCAACAGATGAAAAACATTGAATAAGATCGAAGTTACCGATGTTACTGGTATCATTAAATATTCCATTGCTGAATCCACGATCGTCGCGTTCAACTTTAAATTAACTTGGATTCAGGGAAATAAAATTTCCACCGATCGAAGTATGCATACGTTTAATACTTACACGTGCATTTAAAATTTGAATACAAAAAATAGGGCTCTACTGGAATTTTATCAATAAAGCAGAAATTTCCCTCTATTTTCACTGAATGAATTTATACTTGTTCGGAAAAATATCGACGAACAACATAGTTTTAGCAAAACATATACAATATGCACGCATGACGAAGGGGAAAAGCAAAAAAAGACGAATCAAATGGATCTACCCGACTAAGGAATTTAATTGATTCAGTTGTGACCACGTTTCTATTTCATTATGTTAAGATAACAAAATTAAAATTAACTCGAACATAATACTCTAACGTTGTTTTTACACTGAAAACAAAATCCAACTTCGAAAATCTACTTTCATAATTCAGAAATCCCGCTCTGTCAAATACCTTGGTCTTCTCTTGGACAACAAACTAAACCGAAAAATATATATTCAAGAGAAAATCAAATAAAAACTGGCAGGAAAACTATAAACTGGCTCATGACCAGCAATTCCAAACTGAATACAAACAGTAAACTATAAATTTACAAATTACCGATCCCATGTGGTCATATTGAATTCAAATTTGAGGCATGGCTGCCAAATTCCGTATTAAAGAAAAAAAAAAAAAAATAGAAAATCTAAAATCGGTTCTACTAAGAACTACGTTAAATGTACCGTGGTATATATGAGACGATGACATAAGGAAGATACTAAAAATCCTAACAGTGGAATAGGAAATTAGAAGATATTCGGAATCACATGAACACAGATTAAACAGGCTACAAAAATCAATTTGACAAAAGTTGTTATTCAGGTTTCTAAGAAACTTCAAAGGAAACACCGTTTACATCTATTTACACCTAATGATTAATAATTGATAATCGATACCGATACAACATTAACTTTCACTCTGACGATTAGTATTATAACGATAAGTACCACCATAGAATAAATGCAAGTAATTACAAGCATACAATTAGAAACGTTTGAATAAAGGAACATCCGAAGAAAAAGAATTTCATTATGTCATTTCATCGATTTGAACAATTTGTTGTTAACGAGCCATGTCTCGGTACAGTGTTAATAACATTTCGAAATGTTTCGTATAACTGCGTATACATAAAATGTTTCTAGGAGTGTCAGAATACTTTCGTGAGCCACTTCGTATCATTCAATCATTTAGAACCTAAAATTACAGGTGATAACAATCCGAGTGTCTATCTTTTGTAGAACGATTCGGAGTGTGGCAGAACGTGCACGTACTCGACATGTACAGCGTAGGAAACACGACGTCCACCGCGAGGATTCGCTTTCATATTCAATCATGGTACGACGAAGTAGAAGACTTCGATTCTGCGGAATTCGGGTAAGCTCTTTGCGCGCGCTTTCGTACGGATTTTAAGTCAGCGTCATTTTTCTTCTTCTTTCTTTTCTTTTCTTTTTTCTTTCCTTTTCTTTTTTTTTGTTTTTTAAGTTCTCTTTTTCAATCTACCCTTTTGCACGAGCGTGCGAGGATGAACTTCAGCAGAGAGATCCAGTGTGAAAGGCGTTATTCGAAAAGAATAAAAGTGAGCGCGTAGCCGTGCTCCGCACCGATTCTGTGTATCGTGTTAAATTGAATTTCATTTGTATGGTAGTCTTTCAGTTTTTTGAGATTGGGAGGATTGTTGTATAGTTCAGGTTGCTGAGTTTAATTGTTCTATTGTGGCTGGTTTAACAAGACACAGTAATTGAATCGGTGAGATCGGGAACAAACAAGTTTTTTTGGTGGGGACGGGGGGGG